AAGAAGAGAAGACCTATAGACAAGCCAGTTCCGTTCAGGGTCAATGGAATGAGACCCAAGTAGGCATGAGCCTGGCCTTTCTGAGCCTCAGATGCGAAATGCTCACTAATTGTAGCACAAAGACTGTGCTAATGGCTTTTCACTTTGCTTATTTCCCCTTCTGCATGTGCTCATCTTGGCCAGGACACAATCACCCAGAAATTCTACAAGTACAACAAGAGAAGGGCACTCAAACCATGACTGGCACGCCTTCGCTGGTAATTCCATTTTTGGAACTGCTAATTTCAGATGTGATAATTTATCTCATTGAGTCGGGCTGCACGAGACCAGGAATTACCCAGTGGTGGGCACTTAGCTGAGGCCAAGGCTCACTTAATTAGGATTCTGGCACGGTAGGTGGGAATATTTACCACTGTCATGAATAGTAAATCATAAATGTTAAATTACATTCAATTTCAGAAATAACTGTGCAAAACTTCTCACAGCATAGATAATCAGGCAATCATTGAGGTGGTTATAGTTCTCACAGGCCATTGTTGTTTGTAGTAAGGCCCACTCACGCACTGAGCTACTGTCTTGTTTATCCCAGCTCCATTTTTGTGTATTTTACTCTAGTAAATAAGAATAAATGCTTAATCTAAGTTCCAGAGTTCTTAAAAAAAAGAAAAAAAAGAGAGAATATAAAACATGTGGTCAATTTGTTTACGTTTAAGACTTAGATATAGCTAGCTAAACATTAAATTCGTAAATCATTAAAAAGATAAAAACAGTGTGAATAATCTTCCTTGATCATGATGTTATAGAAAAACACTGGACTGGAAGTTTGGAAATCTGGGTCCAAGTCTTCTCCCTGCTTCTCATTTCTAATATAATTTGTGGAAAGTAATTTAAACTTTCCTGGGCCCCAATTTACGCAACCATAATTTAAGAAATTGTTAACAATTTTAGCTAGGGTCCCATTCAACATTCAAATAGTAAAAAATAATCTGCCTTACTGTAATTTTAAACATTCGTTTATGATTGCACTTTACCAAGTCTCTGCATGAACTGGGAAGGGCTGGCTGGCTGTATTTTGCTGATATGGGAATGTAGAGAAGCCGGATGTCCTGACTTAGGTCACACACGGATGAAAAGAGTGTAGTAGAGATTTGTCCCCACATGAGCCTCACTGCACTTCAATCAGATGATTCACAGTGATTGAGGGAAGATTACTGGAAAGAGTAACTTTCTTAGCTGGACATGGAGTCTGAAAGCATGAGATTCAGTAGAACGTTTACTTGCACTGTTACATCACAGCAAGTGCGCTTTCACATATGTGACTTTCACTTGGATTCATGGGTGAAGTTTCCCTTTTCCTGAATCTCTTAGCTCTCCCCTGTGGGAGGACAAAAAGATCTGGATCCTCATGATCATGGGAGCACACACTCTGGGTTGCCTGGACAGTGAATCAGCTGAGAAGGGCTTCCCCTTCTAGACAGGGATGTCGCACCCAAAGTCAGCTTCCTACTGGGGTCGTGGCTCCTCCCTGTTATGGGGGAAAAGAGAACCTCTGGACAATGCCTGTAAGCAGCTTGTCCCTTTGTGCAGTCTGCCTGGTGCCCTAAGAGTCTGAATTGCCCCCACCAACAAAGTTGTTCTCATTCTTGCCCTATGGGAAGCAAGAGGACCAAGGAAGGGGTTCCTTGGAACGTAGACCCTTGCTGTGTTCAGCACAACAGCCTGGCTCTTGTATCTCTTTCTGAGGGTGGATGAGGTTGGGAGACCAGCAACATTCTCCTCTGATGATACCTCATGGGAGTGTCTCCGATAAAGCCTATCTATAACCCTGCCATGTGGTGCTGTAGACTCTGACTTGAGGTCTGCTGCAGGTCCAGAGCATGAAGGGATTGACTTTCCACCATCTGTTTTCATTTCTAAAGATCCGTTTGGAGTCATTAAGCCTTATACTGAAATTTATATAATTAAGAATTGCAGATAGCTATGTATCCCTTACCGTACAATTTACAGAAGGTGTTCATAATCTATATTCCATTCACACTCACATAGGTCTGCCATTCAAGATTTATTTTGATTACACAGTTTCAGAGTGGTTCAAAGTCTCCTCAAAAGTGGCCATTTTTAAAGCATCCACATAGCAGGCCCTTTGCCAGGGGCTGGCGCATTCAAAGACCAGTAAGACTTCACCGAAGGCTTTCTTTCTTGTGCTCAACAGGGATGATCATCTTAATAGCTATTTATTGTAAATGTATTCATTTTGCCTTTCAGTTTGCTCAAAATAGAGTGCCTCTATTAGGGGACATTAGACAAACTTCACAGAAGCGAGGCGTGGAGGGTGTCTTAGCTGCTATTAAGCCAGGAGGGGACTACACATCAGCTACGCCGGGGGCCCTGAGAAACGGTGAACAGTTATGCTCCGGTCATGTCTTGCCAGGGCAGCGTGTCTGTGAGTACAGCTGAATAGGTCTGTTTGCAATGAGTCTTCTCATCCGTGATCTGAATTCAGGTATGTTCTTCGAAATGATTTCAGGTGCAAATAGATTTCTCTGAAATCTCTATTTCTTATCAGTAATCCCATTGATGGTGCCCCTCTGGATTTCAACATGATATTATGCAGGCATCTCTAGCTTAATACTTTTCAAAGCTAAACTCATCTTCTACTCGCTCAGACCTTTATTCCTTAGCCTGATGCATAGCTTTGCTTCCACTCCATTTTAAGGTCTGGGGAGCCTACCTGGACTCACCTCTTTCTTCTCATATTGGCCAGCTATCAGTGTAGATACCACTTCCTGAACATCTCATACGTTTTCCTCCTTCTTTGTGGCTGTGCTTTCCTTCACCTTCAGCCCTCAATTCTCTTCAAGGACTGTTGTGACATCCTCCTCCTTGCCTCCTGCCTCCTCCATCAAGCCTATCTTCACAGGGTTCATTGCTGATAAATCCAAACTCCCACACCCCCTGAAAAGAACGGAAGCCCCAATGTCATACTACCCACATGCTTAGCATTATTGCAGCTTCTCCCTTCTCCACATCACATTCCAAATCCACAGCACTGATGGTTCCCCAAACTGGCCATGCTTGTGTCATGTTTCTCCTCCAAGGCGATTTTGCAAGGAAGAGTGTGCCCACCAACTCTTACTTCTCTTCCAAGCATTCTTCTCCCTCTGAGGACCTTACTAACCTTTCTTCTTCTCCCTCAGTTAGACTTAAATTTTTTTCCACTGGTTTTGTTGTATCGTGCAATGCCTTCATCAGACCACTGATTGCATTATGTTGTTTCTCTGGGTTTCCTCCCTCAATTAGTTTTTGAGCTCTTTCAGGACAAATGTATGTTCTATTTACCATTGTATCCCTAGAATTTAGCATGATGTCTGACAAAAATGACTTTCACTTGAATGTATGCACTAGATTTTTCTTTCCCTGAATGCTCAGCTGTCCTCTGTGGTTGGATGAACACTCTGCATTGCTAGACAATGAACCATCTGGGATCATGCTCTCACTTCTCCTACTTGGAGAGAATGTACTCAAAGTCAGCTTCTTGAAGGGACAGGGAGTCAACATTAAAGAGACAAATGAATCTGAGTTTATGGAACTTGCTTAAGGTCATACAACCAGTAAGAAGTGACAACAAGAACATAAATCAAGGCAGAGATTCTTGTTCTTGTCATTCACTGTTTTATCCCCTGTACCTAGAAGAGTCCCTGGCACATAAGAGTTCAATCAATTTCTGTTGAGTTAATGAGTGAATGAATGAATGGATGAAAAGTTAATTTCAGAGCCCTCCCTTTGGTTCCACTCTCCTGACTTCCAATCTTGATAGAGTGTATGAATGGGTGTAGAGACATTTTTCAAACAAATAAAATTAAAAACAGAATATTATGATTTTCTCTTTGCAGTAAACCACAATGAAAGAATAATGGTAGCTATTTCCATGTGCCTGCACACATATGCACAATTCTAAAACATTGAAATATAGAGCCTTAGTAATTCATTTCATTTACTAAAAGAAAAATGGCTTTTGGAAAATAGGTAGCCACCCTCCTTAGGAATCATATAACTTTACGTTCAGAATTAGTTTTCAATTAACTGGTAGAATGAACTGGTCTGGTAAACTGTCCTTCTACATAGCGTGAAACAGAGGCCAACTGAAGTAAACTGTAGTTGTTCTGGAGGAAATTCAGAGCCAGAGCCCTGCTCTCTGCTGCTGTCCAGAGGCAGGAGTGGAAAGCAGAGGGCCCCTCCATATTTCTGCAATTGGGAGAAGCAGGTGCAATGTATGCTTCTGGGGAGAGCCCAACTTTGGTTTATAGTCTTCCACCAAAACGTTTGGGGGCTCTCTTTTTCATGCTGAATGACAGCTGATTTTATCTGTATCTATTACTGACATAGACCCTTCCATTCATTGTGAAGCAGAACAAAAGCCAGTAGAGGGATGAAAGAAACCCAAAATAGATCTTTCTTGAGCTGATCGGTATCAGAATTATAAACAGTTCTAGGCATGGAGGAGAAGTAGATTGGCAAGCCCTGTTGCCAAAGATAAAGAATGACTTTTTCCTTTCCTTTCCTCTCTCTCCTTCTTTTTTTTCTTGTACAGCTACTCAAAGGAAACCTTGCAGGAGGTGGAAGCACTCAGGGAAGGAGATTGTTTACTACGGAGGCTCCCACATGCCTGCACTGGGGCTCTTGGTCCACGGTCATTCCCTCTGTTGTTACAAAACATGTTTTATAGTGTGAATCACCTTCTACTATATGGCTCACTATTCTTCTCTCTGAATAAAATAGGAACACATCAGTTATGTGTCTGTTTATTTCTAAAGGCACACCCTTGTAATACTGACCTCTTTCTGCTTTTATATTCTTCAGTTTGTTCCTGACATTTGTCAACTGGGTCAGCTCCCAGACACCGCTAACCCATTGTCTTACTATTTCAGCAATTTTCAAATGTTCTCTTCTAGCAAACGAGTCTGACCTAAAGGCACACTGGGAGGGGAACTTGCACTCACCACTGCTTGTAGTCTGCATCACAGTTACAGTAGTACTTGGGATCTGTGCAGTTCCGCTCAATGCCACAGGCGCACTTCTGAATCCCGGGCCCGGAGCCACCCCAGTAGTAGTGCTTCTCGTTGGCTTTGCCGACCCACCAGGTGTAAGGGCTTCCATCTACGAGAAAGGGGAAAGACACAATGAGGTAGACTAGGCTTGACCACATTGATGTCATCCATACACTCCTGTCCCCAGAGGCAACATCACTCTCCAGTAGGCTGAACCTCACTTTACCCTCTTACAAAGTACATGTTTTTCAATAATAGAAATATTTAATAAAAAATACAATGGGGAATGGTAAGCTCAAGTCTTCCCACCAGGATAGGTACCTCTTTCCTTGGAAGAAGCTTTGACATTCAAGTTTTAGTAACTTAGGTATCTACTCAGTAGATGGGCTGGCCAGCTGGGGACATCCACGATGAAGGCATATAGATGGTGCACTGATTCTGTAAATTACAACTAAGTTCATGGCTAGCTGTGCTTTTCCATGAAGTGATAGTCCGGGGGATCATAAACTATCAGAGCCAAATGACCCTCATTGTGTCTTAGTCTGATTTCCTTATTTTACAGGTAAGGAAACTGAGGTCTAGAAAGCTAAAAGAATTCTTTCAATCACACCCCAGATTTGCTCCCAAACCAGAAGTTCAACACTGTATCTCATGAGACATCATAAAATGTTCTTATATAATACACTTGCCTTTATTATTTGGCCTAATATTCATTCATGTATTCACTCATTCAACCAGCCAATCATCAGATATCACTTGAATTTCCATTGTGTGTCAAATATTATAAGAAATTCAGCAGAGTGATGGAGGAAAGTGATACAGATTGAGCTTAATAAGATTTATGACACACAGGAGCCTGAGTGAGGGAAAGGAGGTCATGAAGGAAACTTTCTCACAGGAGGTAAAATATTTGAGTTATGTGTCAGAGGCTGAATGGGCATTACCCAGGTGAATAGGAATGTAGGAGAGCTAAAGGTTTGTAGGCAGAGGGAGCAGAATGTAAAAGTCAGAGAGGTAAAGTTCTATATGGAAAACATATGTAGGAGTATAGAGGTAGAATATGGTAAAATCAGTCTGAAGAGGTATGTTTGAAAGAAAGGGTAGCAGGAGTAGGTAGTAATTAATCGTAGGTGAGGGCATCACAGAAAAAATTCTTTGTCCAAGTGAGAAATTACTTTGCACTGGTTTATTTTTGTTTTCCAGTGTTTATATCCTCCCAACATAAAGAGATGGAACTTCATCCTATAAGTAATGTGAACCAATTACATGATTTCACAGAGGGAATTATCAAATTTGTATTTTAAAGATCTACACAGTAAGATGAAAGATTTTTGGGGGATGAAGTCAGGGAAGCCAGATGTGATGCTCCTATGTTAAAACAGAATGAAATAATAAATTGGCAGTGGTAATGAAAAGGAAAAAAAAAACTAGAAAGAGATTAATGAGGTATAATTGGTGTAGGATTGCTGGGAATAGGGTGGGAGAGAAGGTAGGAAGAAGGTGTTATGGAGTAAACCCAGGCTTCTGGCTTGGGTGATGTGTTAAATCAAGGCAGATAACAGGGTAGGTAGGAAGATAAGAAGTTTAGGGAATGTTGAAGAAAAGATGGTGAATTTGATATCTAAAATAGGCAATTGGCCATAGAAGTCTGGGTCTTAGGAACATTCTTTGGGCTGAAAATCCCATTTTAGGAACCATGAAGATAAATGAGAAAATATTGATAGCAGAAGAGATGCCATTGGAATCTCTTGGATTACAAGAGCATTTGGAGAAGTAAAAGAGAGGCTGATGGCCAACATGGAGGCCAAGAGAGGGAGTAGTCAGAGAGGGCGGAGGAAAATATGAAAAAAGCTTCCAAAAGACAGCGTATTCAGAATTGCCAGATTTCATAGTGAAGTCCATGAAGATGGGAATCTCAACTTTTAATTTGACAGCTACAAGGTCACAGGAGATCGAAATCAGTTGCAGGTGAATGATGACAAGAAAAAGCCAGGTAACAGGTAGGGGAGGGAATGAAAGGGGAGAAGGTGAGATCCTAGGAACAGCTTCTCTTGCAGGAAGCTGGGAAGGAGTAGAATCTTTTGGGGGGTGGTGCCATGTAGGAAGGCAAGAAGGCAAGTCAATTAGAATCTTTGGGTCTACAGCTAGAATTCCATTATAAGAACTCACCCACACTTTTGGGATGTTAGGTACACACTTGTCCTAGTATCTGTGCAAGTTCTCAGAAATAAAAATGAGGCAAGAGCCATACTGGAATTGCATGAAAACTGCTGCAGTACTGTCTTAGATACACTGATAGTTTTTTTTTAAGATAGACTATTTTTATTATTGAAGTATAGTTGACATTCGATGTTATATTGGTTTCAGGTGTACAACATAGCGATTCAACAATTCTATTCCTCAGTGCTCATCATAGTAAGTGCAGTCCCATCTGTCAGCATACAACATTGCTACGATATTATTAACTGTATTCCCTCCGCTGTACTTTTCATCTTCATGGCTTACTTATTTTATAACTGGAAGTTTGTACCACTCCATCCCTTTCACCTAGTCCCAACCATCTCCTACTCCCTTCCTTTCTGGCAACCACCAGTCTGTTCTTTGGATTTATGACTCTGGTTTTTTGTTTGTTCATTTGTTTTGTTTTTTATATTCACACATAAATGAAATCATATGCTATTTGTCTTTCTCTGACTTGTTTTGTTTAGCATAAGATCCTTTAGGTCTATCCATGTTGATGTAATGGCAAGATCTCATTATTATTTTTTATGGCTGAGTAATATTCCATTACACACATGCACGCACGTGCGCGCACACACACACACACCATCTTCTTTATCCATTCATCAGTTGATGGATACTTGTGTTGCTTCCATATCTTAGCTTTTTTTTTTTTAAATTTTTATTTATTTATGATAGTCACAGAGAGAGAGAGAGAGAGAGAGAGGCAGAGACACAGGCAGAGGGAGAAGCAGGCTCCATGCACCGGGAGCCCGACATGGGATTCGATCCTGGGTCTCCAGGATCGCGCCCTGGGCCAAAGGCAGGCGCCAAACCGCTGTGCCACCCAGGGATCCCCATATCTTAGCTTTTATGAATAATGCTGCAATAAACAGAGGGGTGGATGTATCTTTTCAAGTTAGTATTTTTGTTTTCTTTGTGTAAATATCCCATAGTGGAATTACTGGATCATATGGTATTTCTATTTTTTTAAATTTTATTTATTTATTCATGAGAGACACAGAGAGGGAGAAAGAGAGAAAGAGGCAGAGACACAGGCAGAGGGAGAAACAGGCTCCATGCAGGAAGCCTGATGTGGGACTCGATCCTGGGACTCCAGGATCACGCCCTGGGCCGAAGGCAGGCACCAAACTGCTGAGCCACCCAGGGATCCCCGGTATTTCTATTTTTAATTTTTAAAGGAACCTCCATACTGTTTTCCACAGTGGTTACACTAATTTATATTCCCACCCAATATACGAGTGTTTCCTTTTCTCTACATCCTTGCCACCACTTGTTATTTTTTCCTTTTTGATAATAGCCATTGGACTGGCATGAAGTGATATCTCCTTGTGGTTTGATTTGCATTTCCCTGATGATGATGATGATGATGAGTCATGCTGAGCTTCTTTTCATGTGTTTGTTGGCCATTTGTGTGTCTTCTTCAGAAAAATGTCTCATTCCCATACTCTGCCCATTTTTAATCAGATTATTTGTGTTTTTTTTTGGGGGGGTGTTAAGTTGTACAAATTGTATATTTTGGATATTAATGCCTATTGAACATATCATTTGTACATATCTTCTCCCAGCCAACAGATTGTCTTTTCATTTTGTTGATGGTTTCCTTTGCCGTGCAAAAGCTTTTTATTTTGGTGTGGTCCCCATAGTTTATTATTGCTTTTATTTCTCTTGCCTAAAGAGACATATCCCTAAATATGTCACTAAGGCTGATATTCTAGAGATTACTGGCTATGTTTTCTATTAGTAATTTAAGGATTCATGTCTTACATTTAGGTCTTTAGTCCATTTTATTTTTATGTTTGGTGTAAAAAGATAATCCAGTTTCATTATTTTGCATGTAGCTGTCCAATTCTTCCAACAACTTTTATTGAAGAGACTGTCTTTTCCTCATTGTATATTCTTGCCTTCTATGTGGTAGATTAATTGAATATATAAGAGTGGGTTTATTTCTGGGCTCTCTATTCTGTTCCATTGATCTGTGTTGGGTGTGTGTGTGTGTGTGTGTGTGTGTGTGGTGTGTGCGTGTGTTTGCACTACTATCATACTGTTTTGATTACTACAGCTTTCTAACATATGTTAAAATTTGGGATTGTGATACCTTCAATTTTGTTCTTCTTTCTCAAGATTGCTTTGGCTATTTAGGGTCTTCTGTGGCTCCATACAAATTTTAGGATTATTTGTTTTAGTTGTGTGAAAAATGCTGCTGGTTTTTGAGAGAGATTGCACTGAATCTGTAAATTGCTTTGGGTAACATGAACATTAATTCTTCTAATCCATGAGCATGGTATATCTTCCCATTTGCTTGAGTTGTCCTCAGTATCTTTTATTAATAATGTCTTACAGCTTTCAGAGTATCAGTCTTTCACCTCCTTGGTTAGTTTTATTGCTAGATATATTAGGCTTTTTGGTGAAATTGTACATGGGATTGCTTTTGCGGTGGGCAGTTTAGAGTCATGAAACCCTCCTGGGAGGTTCAGGCTTGATACAATAAATGAGCAAACACTTTGAACTCGGAAAAGAGTTAGTCTCTTACTTCATACACATCTCTAGATTTTCCAGTTGTGTTGACTTAATTTGGAAAAGTTATTTTTTCCCTTTGCAGGATCATTTATGGCAGAAGAATTTAAAAAAAATATATTTGATTTGATATGGTAAACAGTAGAAAGGGGAATTTCAGTATCCTGTTCTGAAGGGAGGCAGAGCCAGCTCTTTGAAATAAGGATCTGCTCTGAAACCCTATCTTTTGCCTATCTGGGCCATGTTCCAGAATAAAGGGAGCTGTATTTGCTTTCTATACTCAAGGTGTTTTTGTTTATTTGTTTGCTTGTTTATTTGCTCCTTCCTTCTCTTTCCATCTCAGAGTAAACT